TGAATGTGTCCTATCTTACCACATCTAAAACATTTAGCATTACGAAATGTACAATAATAACGAGAATGAAGTTTTCCACATGATAAACATTTGCCAAACTTGGTCTCACCTTTTTGATTTCCTTTGTAATTCTTTTTTGAGACACCGTTCATTTTTACACGAGAATCGGAACCTCTGTTAAACGAACACAATTTCGATTGACCCTGAGATTGTTTTTCATCATGACAACTAATCAAAGTATTGGAAATCTTCATCGACTGAATATCAAGTTCATTCAACGCCTCGTAGTTAATGCACGCAGTTATAACATCTTGAAAGGAACAGTTTGACATTCTTAACAGCTCTCTTTCCAAACTAGGTATGTTAATTCCTGCAATTAATCGGTCTCTCAGCTGCACATGAAGTTGATCACCGAAATTACATTTGACAGCCTGTTTCTGCAATCCAAGAATGAATTCCTTAACATTTTGGTCATTTTGACGAATCATCTTATGAAATTTCGCTCTTTCACGGCATTCAAAACCAGGGCACTTTACATGATTCAATAATAACTCCTTAAGCATTGCATAGGGAAGTGAAATAGGTTTTTCTGGATATGCCAAGGTTTTCAATAAGCTGTACGCTTCTTTTCCGATGAATGTTAGGAAATGAGCCACAATTTTATCATCTTTGACATCTTTCCTGGTCATACTCCAGATTTCAAACCTTTCCAAATAATCTTCAAAAGCTTCAGAAGTAGAATGAATATCTAGCTGTTCCATTACAAGTTCCATCGCGACGCCAGTGTAGTATTTAGAAGTATATGTATCAAGAATTAAAGATATGCACAAACGAATGTATTGTATTTAGAATTCGAAATCAAGCATTTCACAACAACAAGAAGTTACTAGTTCATTCAAACACCACATTATGCTTTAGACTTTTGATCTGCTGATTGATCAGTTGTTAGCTTTTGAAATATACTGTCACGTCGGTGGCTTGTGGATTTCATCTGCTGAATTCAATGAAGCTCATCAATCCCATAATCTCTCTAATGACAAGCGTTCTATTCATTTTTGCCCCATGTATCCACCATTGAGATCCTGCCATACACAATCTCTGGATTATACGTTTTTCCTCTTTTCAATAGTTGACAGATTGTTAATTATAAATGCCAATGATGCCAAGGTATAACTAAATGAACTTAGTTGTATTATTTTGAGGAGCACAAATGGTAATTTATGTAATCATTTTTGAGTGATTTATGCAAACTTAAAGTAGTGAACGTAAACTAGATGTCAGTGAACTAGAATGAGACATGAACATTTTCAAGTTAAGCAGGAAATACTATGAAATAAAAATACTATGATTGTATTCCTTCGGATAGCACTTTTAGCTTTAAACAAAACGTTTCATGAAATAAGATGATAAACTAATAAATTAGCCATCATTATCCCAAACGATCAAACTGTAGCTTCTGATTTATGATCTATCACTCGCAGTTTTATTTTCACTGACTATGCACTCTCATCAAGACAAACTAATACTACTTACAACAATACTTACTAACAAGTTACATATTTTACATGTTTTGTTGAAGAAACTTGCTTTTTCAGAATTTTTACTGTGATAACATTGTGAAGATTACCGTCAGAAGGTAGCCATACAAATTTGTATTTTGCATAAGTATTGCTTTTTTCAAAATGTTAAACTAATCGTTACAATATCAATACCAAACTTTTATTGATTCCTTTCTGCTGCTAAAATTAATTGCTTAATTTCATTTTCGTTGATTAAAATAATGAGTACGTTGTTTCGACCCTCATTAATGATATTAGGCATCGTGGCTTTCTTAACAAAGATGTGTTGAATAATAACTGTAGACAAAACATTAAAGCGCCGTAAAACAGGCATTTAGTAGTTCACACAACACGCACCATTCCAATGTAGTATTTATTTCTGTTAACCGCCGAAATTCCTTGTTATTTTATAGTTATCCGGAATTTGCAGCGAAAATATATCTCCAATATAAATAGTTTCGAAATTTTTCGGCATTGATGCTGACCTCATTAATCTTGCAGGACAAGCACTAGCTGAAGGTGCCTGGTCATATATCCGCACTAGACCGCTAATGGATGCGCTGTGCGACAAGTTCTTTCATAAATAGCCAGCTTAGATCAAACGCCTCTCGAAATACCGACTATACCTACGAGTTCTTTTATTCCTGGCTTCTGGTTTCACTGTTTTGGATGCTCGATTACGGATAAAAGCGTTATCAATATCTGTATACCCGCGACATACTGATTTAACCGAATGACCATGTAAAGTCTTAATCATTCAGAAGATTAGGGACAAACAGTGGACTTCAGTAGCATCTGCCGAACTCATAGACGCTCGGAAACTCATCCCATCTGGCTACGAGCATCAAAAAGAGCGGAGTGAGTCTAGGCAATGATCGGAAACAGTATTCGAAGCAGTACACATAGAAATGGCAGCGACAATAGGTATCCGTACACAACTATTGAGACTTATCAAGGAAACCGGTATTAGAAATCCTACTGTCAGCGAGACTACCACCCGAATGGATGGCATTATTATTTATTCTCAATCTAGGAGATTGGATAAATGGGCAGAACACTTTAGGGGTCAACTCGACTGGCCTTCAGTCACACTTCGATTACCCTCGATCTCCAGTCGACCTGAATCGCACATTGATGTGTCTTCCAACTCTGTGAAGTTGAAAAGGCTATAGGAAAACTCAAGCGATAAAAAGTAGCAGGTCCCGGTAGATTACCCCTGAGGTTTTTTAGGATGATGGTCCAGTTTTGGCAGCTAGACCAACTGAGATCTTAGGTAGAATATGGGAACTAGGCGTAATCTCATCTAACTGTCCTCAACCACTGATTATCCAAGTTTATAAGAAAGGACGAAAGTTTTCTTGTAACAATCATAGAAGGATCGGTCTAACTAATATGGTGTCTATAATATTGACTTCCATAATACTTTGACGCCTAATGAAAGATCGTGGAAAGCAGACTCGATAAAACTAGGCTGGTTTCAGACATGGACGTGGATGGATACACCAAACATCCACACTTCGACAAGTCCTAGAGCGTAGACAGATGTCCTACAATAGTTGCAACTCTCGAACTTAAGACGGCATTTGACTGTTAGTTGAGACTCTACGGCGGTATCTGCCAGTGAAAAGAGTACCAAAGGAGTACGTTAACGTTGTATAAGCTCTCTACTCGAGCATTACTGGATGAGTGAGAGCTTATGGCGAACTGTTATCGGAGCTGATTACTTCAACTTCGTCGGGGTTGTTCACTCTCAACTTGTTCTCAGCTTTGCCATGAGCATGCTCCTAGAAATGACTTTTATCGTCTGACTTTTCAGAAATCGAACTTTTACCGGGAGGTTTACTTTTCGACTTAGAATATGCCGATGACATCGTTCTATTTTGATAGAACAGTGAGAAAACGTAATTGATCTGAAAAATGTGGTGTACTGTGTGATGTGACAATTTCCTACCCTTTGTTATTCTTTTTATAATATTACGTTAATTTCCTTTTTCATTTATCTGCAAATATTACCCTACGTCTATTTGAAATTTTATTTATCTTCATATAAAATGTCTTGACAAGTATATGTGACCAGATTGTTCGAAATGTATAGCGCAAATACCTTACATTTTTCAGATCAGTTACGTCTTCTCACTGTTCTATCAAAATTTATAAGAGAGATTGTTCTAAATAGTACTATTTGTTGAAGACGCTGACAAAATGCAGTTTTCTGACCATTCTAAGCAACAATGCAAGTATGTTCGGGATGCGGTTTTCCCCTTCGAAATGCAAAATGTTGCTTCAAGATTGGGTTGCATCGGCACCTGAACTAGTGATAGGGAGTGAAACAATTGAGTATGTTGACCGCTTCACTAATTTCGGGAGTCTCATAACTGTCGATGGCCTGTTGTGTGACGAAATCTCAGCACAGATACAGGAAACTCGATTGGCTTTTGCCAACTTGAGTCACTTATGGTGTAGACGAGATATCCGTTTGCTGACTAAAGGACGAGTCTACTGCGCAGCAGTTCATTCAGCCCTACCTTGTGGCTGTGAAACATGGCCAGTATGAGTAGAAGATATTCATAGGTTACTGATATTCGATCACAGGTGTCTTCGAGGCATTGTTCGTATATCCTGAGACAATCGAGTAAGCAATGCTGTTGTAAGGAAACGACTACTAGGTAAGGATGGCAGATCAATTGATGAGGTAGTGAGACTTCATCAGTTGAGGTGGCTGGGACATGTGTTACGTATGCCTAACCACGAGCTATGTTTTGTGGTGTAGGGGCAGGCTGGAAGAAAGTTAGGGGTGTCCAAACCAAGACATGACACGAATCATTGAAGTCACTGACAAGTGGACTGGGCCATGTTATTAAGTGTTGACTACCTGGCTGGGGCCCGCAAGACAATAGTACTCAATGATTAGAGACTTTGAATCACATGGCTCAGAATCGTTTGCAATGGCGCAGGTTCACTCATTCTTTGTGTTCTCTTAAATTCCAATCTGGATTCCTCATGATGTTCATCCTTCTCTTATCAAATGTATTTCACTGCATTATACCTCCTGAATAACATCTTCGAATCCAAATCTGCTTGATTACTGCTAATACTTCTACTAAATTTACCACTATGGGATTGGAATTGACAATTGCATCTCTGTGCTGATGCGGTATGTCAGCTTGAACTGACGTAGTTACATACGAAGTTCTACGTAGTCGCTGACTGCATGACAGACTGCATCATTGATCTGGATCACAGAGTAAGATATTGGTATTGAACTAGTTGCATGGATCCTTTTTTAAAAATATAAAAAGGATAGGGTATTTATAAACTTCACTCTACGCCGTTGGAAACTTCCTTCCTACACCTCAGTATAAGATGCTACAATTTCCAAGCATTTATTTATGAGGCTTGTTCCCATTCAATTTTAAGGTAGAAAAATCAACAAAAATAGCATACATTTAAAGGAAGTGGATTAAATAAAATTATTTTTGACAATGAATTTATTCATAATTTTAAACTAAGTACATTAGGTATAAATTGTTTATGGCTGTCAGTAAAACAGAATCACCGTAGTGGGTACCATGGTTGCATTATTTCACCGTAAGTTTGGTAGGCTATGCATGCACAAAGAAAGATATAAATAACTGAATTTACAAATGAGCTATATGAACAACTGTTATTGGATGAAGAATATTTATACGTATTTAGGTGGAAACCGTGACACCAAGTGATATCATTTGAAAAACTAAATGATAAATCATTAAATACTGATTTAAACGGTAAATATATGAGAATGAAGTCGAAGCTTTCTCGATTAAATGATTCATATCGCTCTAATACTATAAAAATAACATATTACACTTGTATAAAGATTTAATTGACCGTATCACAGAGTTACGTCAAACAGACGTGCTTGTTAATTAAATAGCTCACTTTTGCATTCAGAATACGCTCCACAGAAAGTGTAGACGGAGACCCAGAAGTCAAACACGCTATGATCCGACGACCGCCAAATATAACATGTTGGTATCATAGAAATTACGGCAATCAGGCGAAGTCTATTACTCCCTGTATATCTGAGAGCACGTGACAGATAAAAGTAAAGGCTGATGGTTAGTGACGATTGTGATCGCCGACACGAACTAATCGTCCGCTGTAAGATACCGACAAAACAATAGGGGCAAAGTCTCTGGTAGAGTGGACTAGAGGTTAGTGTAGTGTCGTCTAGTACAATTGAGAGAAAAAAAAACCTTAACTGAGGCAACAAGCAGCAAATAGGTTGGAGGTCTGGCAAACAATTTTTACAACTGCATTTTGTTTTCAAGGCCAATTTTCTATGAAATTTCACCATGGATGATGCTTGACATTAATAATAGCTGTCGACTTCTAACAAACACAATACGTGGACGTTATAAAATAGAGGCTTGCACACAATGATAATAAAGAGGAAATCGATTTATGCCCACCTAAACGTCCATTTATCAGCCAATCAAACCACATGGAGAAGGTAATGAATGTATACATATGCATAACAGACTTCCCAACATATTAAATCGACTGAAAGCAATTGTGGTCGTCAGCGACGAGTGAAGCTAGAATACAATCGAAATTAAGCCTCCAGAAACGTTAACATCAGTGGTTGAGCTGTCGAACAATGACACATGTTTATAACTTAGATGTACTGATCGAAGGAGCAGGTCAGTCACGCTGATGCAAGTGGGTTTTACCGCTAGGCCCAAGAATTCGTTTAAAGGGGAGGACTGAAGCATATCCAATGCATGATTACGTTGGAGCACGCTCACTGGCATATGTTTGGTCAATCAGCGCTAGCAGGTAGTAGGAAAGGAGTCTGGAAAGATTTGTGTAAAAATAATGTGCATACGTTTTCGTTACTATGGTTTTTTGATATTTACTTGGGTTTGTTGGGATACAATTAATTACCTGTTCAAGTAGTGTTCTCATTTTGGGACTAGTTGAGTTGTAGTGTCCGAAGAATACTAAGCAATGAGTTAGCTGCTTCGTATAGGTGAGGTTATTAACATAGATTTAGAATGAGTAACAAGGGTTTTTAAACTAATTTTTTATTGTGAGTACAAATTTAGGATACGAAGAGTTTCATGATTACTCGTAGCTAATTATTCCAGATAGTAAAAGCGTACACCGTGTAGGATGCTTCTACGAAGTGAACTGTTAGAACTCAATAATGCTCGTTAACCGACGAACACTAAGGTAGAACCACTACTGTTGTCATGAACACGTATAAATTTTCTGAAATTATAACTAATACGTACCAGCTCAAACTCAATGAAACAATCACATCTAAGGTCATAAAAATGTACAATTTCTGTCGCTGACATGATGATAACAGCAGTTTAAAGGAAAGCCTTCCAAATAAGGCAATGTAAAGAAATTATGAAATATAAATGTACGGTAATTATTAATGAGCGAAAATAAACATACTTTTTACAGGAACTCTCTCCGGAAATTGGGATTTATAAACATCGATAGCTTTGAGATGAGTCACTTTCCTTTTCTTAATTGCTTTTTCTACTTCGCGAAAAGCCACATAAGTACCGATTCCCAATAGAACTGTTCGGTAAAAACCTAGGATAAATGATTAAGTTTTTGCAAAGTTAGTAGTTTTCAAACTGAGCTTTTTAAGAAAGAAACGAAAATTAATCGGGTTTTCAATAATGTTTCGGAAAATTAGCCTACAGGTGGAGCTTTATCCATATAATTTGTTCAGAAACTATTACAAAATTGTGATTATTCTTAATCATCAGTTTATTTATGGCTGTCGATTTCCGCATTAGCACAACTGTACAGTATTAACACACTTACTCAACATCCTTCTCAACTTTCGACAAAACGTGATGTTCGTTTTCATTGCTATGAATATGAAGTCTAGTTGAGCAGGGTTATCTAATTTCCCTTATCCACTTCTGGTATTTCTTTCGGGATATTGTGAATCAGTGCTGGAAGGTGTGATTGGTAATAGTAAAAGTCTAAAGAGATATGTGGATAGAACAATCTTAGAGAGCGACAATACACATACTAGGGAATTCATGGTTGACAACCATAAATATGGTATGTTCTGTACAACTCGAAGCACATTGCAGTGAATATCACAGCAGCTACTTCGCTGAAACTTGGAATATTTAGAAGTTATGTAAAGCTGACCAGTTCATGAGGTGAAACCGCAACACGTGAATAAGCAAACTTTGTTGCACGGTTACTTTAGGCCCCAAACAATAACGGCAAGAATAGTAATAATGTGTAAGTTAGCACAAAAACCAAAAGATGCATAACAGGCACTAGTTAAACGCACCATGCAAGAGATATCTTATTTCATTTATTCGAGTTTATTGCATATACCAAAGAAATTCGATGAAAAGAATTTCATAAAACGAACTCTTTTATCAGGTGAAATATAAAGACTTGGTACAATGAAGCTCTTGAGGCATACGCCACGTGATACAGTAAAATCCCTATGAAATGGAAGTGGACAAGGTACAACAACAACAGGAAGTCAAAGTTTCACTAAGAACATAAGAAGTTTCTATTCTTTAAAATCTAATCTCGCTGGATAACAACGAAAAATGATAGTATTAACCGAAGCTGTTAGTCCGGGACAACTTATGAGATAAGATGACGGTCCCAAAACATAGGCTAGCCTTAAAACTTGATTGTCACGTCACTAAGTAAGAACAACACTTGAAGTGTTATAATAATACCACTGATCAGGAAATAACGAAATTTATGTGTATAATCTAGCTGCATAGACCAGACGACGACAGAAATCTAAGTAGGGTAAAGCTTTTTGGTTGAAACTACCACAATCGTATCTAGTAATCCGTTTGATGTTGATTATCAGTTCAGTGCTTCCAATGGGAACTCCGCCAGTAGAACCTTAGGGGCTACTGCCGGTCCCAAGCCCGGATAAAGGAGGAGGGTTGGATATGGGGTTGGCGACCCCATTCCGTTGAAATCTCACTTGCCAAAAAAACGCTAACCAGAAAAAATAATTCAAACCATTTTAACTCTGCCCTGGGAGTTGGAAGAAGAATTATGACGTCTCGTGATGAAAGCCGAGTTCCCTCGGAAGTCACGGGGCTGATGCCTCTTCTGACAACCAGAGCAACCATTTTTTTAGGTACATGGAACGTTCGTACATTGTGGGAGACTGGAAGACTATTTCAAGTTGCGGCACAAATGAAACGATACAACCTCGAGGTGCTCGGCATCAGTGAAACGCATTGGACACAAGTAGGACAACTGAGACTAGCTTCAGGGGAACTGCTGTTATACTCTGGTCATGAAGAGGAAAACGCTTCACATACACAAGGAGTTGCACTGATGCTGTCCAAACATGCACAAAAGGCACTGATAGGATGGGAATCTCATGGACCCAAGATCATTAAAGCATCCTTCAAAACAAAGAAACAGGACATTACAATGAACGTCATCCAATGTTATGCACCTACCAATGACTACAATGACGACGATAAAGATCAATTCTACGAAAGGCTGCAGTCAATCGTCGATAAATATTCACCAAAGGATTTGACGATTCTTATGGGAGACCTGAATGCCAAGGTTGGAATGGACAACACTGGATATGAAGACATCATGGGACGACATGGACTGGGAGAAAGGAACGAAAACGGTGAGAGATTTGCAAACCTATGTGCCTTCAACAAACTGGTTATCGGTGGCACAATATTCCCGCACAAACGCATTCACAAAGCCACATGGATTTCACCGGACCACACTACTCAAAACCAAATTGACCATATCTGTATCAACAAAACGTTCAGAAGGACTATGGAGGATGTGAGAACCAAGAGAGGAGCTGATATAGCTTCAGATCACCATTTGCTGATCGCCAAAATGAGATTGAAGCTAAAGAAGCACTGGACAACGGGGCAGACAACATCACAGAAGTTTAATACAGCCTTTCTTCGGGATACCGTAAAACTCAACGAATTCAGGATAGCCCTCACCAATAGGTTCCAGGCCTTTCAGGATCTACTCAATGGAGAGGAAGCAACATTGGAGAACAATTGGGAAGGGATTAAGGAGGCAATCACTTCAACATGTCAGGAGGTCCTTGGTCGCACGAAGCACCATCACAAGGAATGGATCTCTGTTGATACTCTTGCAAAAATTGAAGAAAGGAGGAACAAGAAGGCAGCAGTGAATGTCAGCCGAACAAGAGCAGAGAAAGTTAAGGCGCAAGCCGAGTATACAGAAGCAAACAGGGAAGTGAAGAAGAGCATCAGAGCTGACAAACGAAAATATGTGGAAGATCTAGCAATCACGGCGGAAAAGGCTGCAAGAGAAGGAAACTTGAGACAATTGTACGAAACAACAAAGAAGCTCGCCGGGAACTATCGTAAACCAGAACGACCAGTGAAAAGCCAGGAAGGGAAAATAATCAGCAACACTGACGAACAGCGAAATAGGTGGGTGGGGCACTTTAAGGAACTATTGAATCGACCAGCTCCACTGAACCCACCCAACATCGAAGCAGCATCCAAGGACCTCCCAATTAATATTGGCGCACCTACGATTGAGGAGATCAGTATAGCCATCAGACAAATCAAGAGCGGCAAAGCAGCAGGACCAGACAACATTCCAGCAGAGGCAATGAAAGCAGATGTGGAAGCAACTGCGAAAATATTTCACAAACTCTTCAAGAAGATTTGGGATGAGGAACAAGTACCATCAGATTGGAAAGGAGGATACCTCATCAAAATACCAAAGAAAGGCGATCTCAGCAAGTGTGAGAACGACAGAGGCATCACTCTTCTTTCAATACCAGGCAAAGTCTTCAACAGAGTATTGTTAAACATAATGAAGGACTTCGTAGACGCCCAACTTCGAGATCAACAGGCCGGATTTCGTAAGGATCGGTCGTGTACTGACCAAATTGCTACATTACGGATCATTGTGGAACAATCAATTGAATGGAACTCACCACTCTACATCAACTTCATCGACTACGAGAAGGCATTCAATAGCGTGGATAGGAAAACACTGTGGAGGCTTCTTCGACACTACGGTGTGCCTGAGAAGATGGTTAACATCATACGGAATTCTTATGATGGATCCAACTGCAAAATCGTGCACGGAGGACAGCCAACAGACTCTTTTGAGGTGAAGACCGGTGTCAGGCAAGGTTGCTTACTCTCACCCTTTCTCTTTCTCCTGGTCATCGACTGGATTATGAAGACGTCAACATCTGGAGGGAAGCACGGTATCAACTGGACAGTTAGGACGCAGCTGGACGATCTGGACTTCGCAGATGACTTGGCTCTTCTATCGCACACTCAACAACAAATGCAAGAGAAGACGACCAGTGTAGCAGCAGCCTCTGCAGCAGTAGGTCTCAACATACATAAAGGAAAAAGCAAAATTCTCCGATGCAACACAACATGCACCAACCGAATCACGCTTGATGGAGATACCTTGGAGGACGTTAACACCTTCACATATCTTGGCAGCATCATCGACGAGAAAGGTGGATCGGACGCACATGTGAGAGCGCGGATTGGCAAAGCGAGGGCTGCATTTCTACAGTTGAAAAATATCTGGAACTCCAAACAACTTTCAAACAAAACCAAAATCAGGATTTTCAATACAAATGTCAAGACAGTTCTACTGTATGGAGCGGAAACATGGAGAACTACCAAGGCCATCATTCAGAAGATACAAGTGTTTATTAACAGTTGTCTACGCAAAATACTTCGTATTCATTGGCCAGACACCATCAGCAACAACGAACTGTGAGAGAGAACAAGTCAGATTCCAGTGGAGGAGGAAATCAGGAAGAAGCGGTGGAAGTGGATAGGACATACACTACGAAAAGCACCCAACTGCGTCACTAGGCAAGCCCTCACATGGAACCCTCAAGGCAAAAGGAAAAGAGGAAGGCCAAGGAACACACTACGCCGAGAAACAGAGAAAGATATGAGAGGAATGAACAAACATTGGACAGAACTGGAGAGGGAAGCCCAGGACAGAGTTGGTTGGAGAAAACTGGTGGGCGGCCTATGCTCCATTGGGGGTAACAGGCGTAAGTAAGTAAGCTTCCAATGGGAATCGCCTGGATTGGGAAAAGTAAAAATGTGTCTCAATCTTATTGGATTTCCAATAAGTGCATGTCATACAAACGGTAACGGAAACTGTAATCACATTTAAAGGCATTCTGACTAGATTTTGATTGAGTTCGAAGTGCGCAAGAATAAAAGATAAGGTCAAACTCATGACTGTCATATTGTTGGCTACAGCACTAATAAATCTTGCGTTTATATCTCCAAACTTAGTTATTCACAATTGGAGCTGCTAATGGAACCTATAAGTTTCACCAAAAGCTAACCACTAAACTTTGGGCCGATAATCTCAGCGGGTCACTAGAGTATAGTGATAGAGGTAGCTTGTTGCTAAATCTTTAACGATGTGTCTTCCTAGACCCCGAGGCTTCAAAAACCTGGGATCATTACTGTGAAGTCCACGTAACTAAATGATTTCACATATTTGTTTATGTGGGAAACGGGATAACAATAACCATTCACCTACGTGCGTAAAGTGGTCTCATCATATAATAATTCCATCCTACATGGGCGCTGACAACCCAAAATGTCATTGCCTCAGGAATCATCTTGCGGACGGTTGACAACGTCCTTGAGGTAAGTTCGCGGTCCTTCCATGTCCAATGCACATTATCTCCAATATATTCAATAGCTTTATCACGAGTTAGTATAAACCAATTAATTTGAATAATAATGAGAACATTATAATGTTAATAAGAAGAGTATTCAGAACTGAGTAAATAAATAGATAATTCAATTTATTAATTGGTAGTGAAGATTGTGAGAGAGGACCGAAGTGTAAGCAAGGAAGAGGAAACAGAGATAATGGATGAGATAAATTAATTTAGTGATCTAAGGAGATGGCATTAATAACAACTAGCAGGTCTCAAGAGATGCATTAGGCACGACTTCTCCACGAGGGAGATGATAATCCGTATGTGAGTACGTGTTTATCAAGTTTAATCTTGAAGCTGTGTACACAAATAAATCTCTTTGAGCGCACTTCTTAGTGTTTCGGCAAGGTTCTTGGTATTCGTTAGTTTCAAATTTCACCCGTTTTTACTTATTCTGGTTAGTTGACAGTTGTTTATGAGTTCGTGACTCCTGAGATTTAATTGAATGTGCTTTTCACAGAGTGACAAGGTTTCCAGAAAGCAGAAGCTATGAATTTAGTAGCTTGGAGATTGTTGAGTAAAGGAAAATCACTTACTTGAAAATTTCTCATGGAATTTATGTAATGCAAGTTGTGTGTAGCTACAATGCTTGCCCCTAGAGATCTGTTGTGTTATCTGAAGTAAACTGTGAGATTTAGTCCAGTCGTTTGAACTCTCGGTCAGGCTAACGTTCAAAGCTTTACGGTTTGTGTAAAGAGAGTATTTTCAGCCTTCCAAAAATGGCTAGAAGTGTCGTGCAGAACGATATGTAGCTAGTTCTCTCTCGAAATGCCTATACCTTAAATATTTAGTATGGCCATCCCGTGAAATGTGCTAAGTATTACATACCGGCATTCGTAAGACTCAGGTTGCCATGTCAGACGCGTCTGCTGCGATGCTGATGAATTCTTTGGTTTCGGCGTGTAACAGTACAATTTAATTGTCTATATGTTCTCTCACAGTAGAAATACTATCTTCACGATGTCGACCAAGTTTTCGATTTTTCGCATTTTCACTAGTTGGTCAGTAAAGGGTCTCGTGAGCGACGACGGATTCTGTATGAACTGTCGGTAAAAAGTTATCAGTCCATTGAATGTGCCTAGGATATTGCTGAATGCATGCCACTTTATTTTCTACAGGTCGCCTATATTGAGCCTTAACAGTATGCACAAGAAAATCGAGGGAATCCGTTTGAATTATACATTCCTGTATGTAAAGAGTAATCCCATATTTTAAAAGTCGTCGAAAAACAAGATCTAGATTCTGGGGCTGAGATCCTCTATTCGAACTTATGATACGACAAAAGTATGATTAAAAAAAGAATGGATGATACATTCACTGGGAAAATTGATTATAATGATGAATGTTGTTATATAAGAAATCGCGGTTTTCTTCGTTTAAGTATAATCACTACAGCAGCCATCCTGATAGAAATGGCGAACACATTCTAATAGTAACGGTTTTGCCCATGGAATCGATCAGTGAATGCGCGACTGAAGGATCGAAGAGTTGACGAACAGGAATAGGTCCATGGTGCTCAAGTTGTTAGCAAGGGTCTTTTACGTAAAACGGTTGTCGTGCTACACCAGAATGGTTTGTATCCAGAATCGGAATCAGAACGTCAATCAAGTACATTGACTGGGGTGTAGATTATCGACTATGTGCAGCCAAGTTTGAGCGAAGTCAACGGTACCAGAAGGGTGACGGTAGGAAACGTAACATCACGATAAAAAAAGTTCAAAGAAAAGGAAAAAGGTGTAGCAACCATGTAGTAAGTGGTAGAGTCATAAACACTATGCGTCACTTATTGAGAGACTGGTAGCAAACGCTTGCAGGTACATACGCCTTGCTGGTCTGGCGATCTTAAGCTGTGACTGTAGTCTCATCCGTAAATAGTGCTGATGACGCGAATTTTTGACTGGGACGTGAGAATGAGGTATTTGTTATGTCTAGCGTGGGGTCGGAACGATATACAGGAATCCCGCTGGGGACCTTGTGGTCCATCTAATGTAGTGATTGATGCACGTGAAGATCATGCCCATGCGAACGTGGCTGAAGCGAGAATCAAACATGTCGAACGTGCCGATAGGGATAGCTAGGCGCCTGTGAAGTTTAAACTGCTGACATTATAGTCATTGTTTCGCCCACACACGAATACCTTTATTCATGGAAAGCCGGATATATCGTGCAGCGGCGAGGAGTAAAGTGACTTCGACGCCTGAGTGAGATAGTCCATGCAGTGTTTCGAACACGAAATGATGATAAGCAGAAGGCACGATGAGTCGAGGTAAATCCGTGGAAGTATCATACACGATAGTACCTGAGCCAGTAGCTATGGGTTATTCCAGGTATATAAGAAAAATAGCGTGCTCGAACGGCAGCTATAGTAGGAAGGTTGAGCACAGACGAAGTAACTGCACGTATTTGGATGCATGACAGAGCATCAGCAACGTAGTTCGACCCACGTTTATTATGATGAAGGTTTGTCATGAAACAGGTTATATGATCTAAATGTTTGGATTCTCGTGGTGAGTGACGGCCTGACATATTATGCAGGGCATACGTTAGAGGCTTATGGTCCGTGAGTAGTATAAATTCAAGACCTATAGCGTGCCGAAAATGTTTGGTGGCACAGTACGCTCCTAAGAATTTAAGATGAAAAGCACTATATCTCATCTCAGTGGAAGTGAGGCGTAGTGGAAAAAATTTGAGAGGCCGCCAACTTCAAGAGATGATCTATTGCATTACAGCTCCTACCTAATACATCAACCGTTATGCTGAACGTGGTTAATGAATCAAGATGATCCAGGAGTGTGGCTTGTGCCAACCATGTTTTGATCTCTATAAATACAGTACCCGTGGCATCATCTATCTCTAGTTACCGTGGATTACCGCGAAGTCAGTCATTTGGCAGTCTTAATCATTCTGCCGCGTGTGGGATGAAACGGTCAGTCAGTCAGTCAGTCAGATGCAACGTAGAACTTGGTACGTAAGTACATCAGTTCATGTTGCCATACCACATCAGCACAGAGATGTAATTGTCAATTCAAATCCAATAGTAGTAGAGGTAGTAAGGGAATTAGAAGTAATCGGAGAGGTTAGGGTTAGAAGATACTATTCAAGAAGTATGATTCAGCGAGAAAAGTTTAGAGAGTCGAAACTAGAGGTGTTGAAGAATCTAGAAGATTAGGATTTGAGAGAACACAAAGAATAAATGCACTGGCGCTATTGCGAACGATTTTGAGCCATGTCATTCAAGGTCTCTAACCATCGATTATTATCATCTCGCGGACCCCAACGAGGTAGTCGACAATTACCGACATGGCTCAGTCCACTCGTCAATAACTTCATGGACTTCTGCCATGTTTTGATTTGACCGCCCCTAACTTTCTTACAACCTACTCCTACACTACAAAACAAAGTTCGTCGAGGCAGTCGGTGGTTTGGCATACGCAACACATGTCCCAACCACCTCAATTGATGAAGTTTCATCACTTCATCGATTGATCTGCCTTCCTTACCTAGTACTCGTTTCCTAACGACAGCATTGCTTACTCCGTTGTCCCACGATATACGAGCAATGCTTCGGAGACACCTATGATCGAAAACCAGTAACCTACGAATATCTTCTACTCTCACTGGCCATGTTTCACAGGCATATAGGAGAACGGAGCGAACTGCTGCGCAGTAGACTCGTCCTTTAGTCAGCAAACGGATATCACGCCTACGCCAAAAGTGACGCAGGTTGGCAAAAACCAATCGAGCTTTCTGTATCTGTGCTGAGATTTCGTCAGTCACCAGGCCATCGGCACTGATGAGACTCCCCAGATAAGTGAAGCGGTCAACATACTCAATTGTTTCACTCCCTATTACTAGTTCAGGTGCCGATGCAACCCAATCTTGAAGCAACATTTTGCATTTCGAAGGGGAAAACCGCATCCCGAACATGCTTGCACTGTTGCTTAGGGTAGTCAGAAGACTGCACTTTGTCAGCATCTTCACCAAGTAGGACTATGTCATTGGCATATTCTAGGTCAATAAGCGAGCCACCTGGTATATCTACTCAAGAAAATTCAGACGAGGATAAGGTTATTTCTAGGAGCATGTCTATGATAAAATTAATCAAGAATGGAGAAAGTGGACATCCCTGACGGACACCACTTGATGTAGAGGATTCCGGTGACAGTTCATCATAAGCCCTCACTCGACCAGTGTTGTTCGAGTAAAGGGCTTGTATGAGGTTAATGTACTTCTTTGGTACACCTTTCAATGACAGACACTGCCACATAACCTCACGATCCACCGAGTCAGATTTCGCCTTAAGGTCAAGGAAAACAACTATTATAGGACGCCCAAATGTGTGTCTTTGTTCCAGGACCTGTGGTAGTGTGAAGATGTGGTCTATAGAACCACGTTCAGGTCGAAAACCAGCCTGGTTTTCTCGAGTTTGCTCTTCACGAGCTTTCGTTAAGCGTTGAAGTATTACTGAGGCCAATATTTTAGAAACTATATTAGTTAGACTTATTCCTCTATGATTGTCACAAGAAGACTTTTGTCTTTTCTTATAGATTGGAACAATCAGTGATTGAGACCAGTCGGATGGGATTACGTTCAGTTCCCAGATTCTACATAAGATGTCAGTCAACATAGCTGCTAAAACTGGACCAGCATCCTTAAATATCTCGGGGGTCAGTCTATCAGGACCTGCAGCTCGTCCTAGTTTCAGATTTCCTAACGCTTTCTCAACGTCATTAAGACTAGGGGGACTTACGTCGATTTGCCATTCAGGATCACTGGAGATCGTGGGTAACCGAAGAGTGGCTCGTGGCCAGTTTAACTGATCCCTAAAGTGTTCTGCCCATCGATCCAGTCTCCTGGATTGAGAATGGTTAATAAGACCATCCTTTTCCGAGATAGTATCACTTACACTATGATTCCTAATACCAGTTTCCTTGATAAGTCGGAAAAGTTGTCTAGTG